TAATAATGACTATATAAGTTGGGTCAGTTAGTGCCATGTAAGACCCCAGACTCTTAAGAATGGACAAACATAGGGAATTCTGGTGGCTTAATGGCAAAAAGCTGCACTGCCATCATTAAAGCACACGATTCAAATCTATCAGATGCTCCACTGGAGAAGAACGGCCAGTCTCCTCCTGTGCTAGTCAGATCCAACTCGATGGCACACAACAAGGGGGGGAAGAAAAAAGAATGGACAAACAGTAGGCTCCAGGACACACCCTAATGCCCTCATCACCTAGCCTCAGCCTCTTCTTTTCCCTACACCAAGCTTCATTTATCCACTCAGAAGCCATACATTTTTTCACTTTAAGTGCAGAATAGTAGTACCTCTGTGCTCCTCTGCTCCTGTTCTCCCTGAGCACTTATAGGCTTTCAGCTCCAGAGATCAGAGACTGCATAATATCTGGAAGCATCAGGCTGCCACCACTGCCAGTCTTGCTTCTCACCTGCATACTCAGTCCCTATGGCCATCTCTTCACACCTACCCAGTCCTGCTCAGACTTCAGGCCAGTTGTTGATGCAGCCTCCACCTGACCCAGACACACACGCATCCTATATCATGGATGCAGCTTTCATACTTTCTCCATTGGCTCCTATAAGGTTTTAATATAATAGGCTGTATATATGATATTCACACAATATTCAAATGACTTAACATCCTGTTTCACAGAACATACAGCATCATACCTGTATAAGTGTGTACATACATTTTCATATGTCCTCCTATGCATATATAACATATATATCTGCTTATGTGACCAAGCAGGGAGCTCTGATGGTGTGTATTATTATTGTTGTTGATTGCTGTCAAGTTGAGCATGACTCATAGCAACCCTATGAAACAAAAGGCCTGTATAGCCTTTCTGTAACTGTCATCATTTATTAAAGTTCTAGAGTTTCCAGAAGCATGTTGTTTAGGAAGTGGCTGCCACTCCTGCTTTCAACAAAAAAGTGCTAAGGAATTATGCTGCCAGCTTAAAGGCTCATGGTTTGAATCCACCATCTCCTTCAAGGGAGAATATTGGAAGTCTCCTCCCATGCAATTTAATGCTTCAGAAACCTCCTGAAGGGTCAGCCATGAATTGGTTCCAACTTGATGGTACATAACATGTGACTAGTCACAAATTTTGTGTAATTATTACTATTATTGCAGAATTGTATTTATTATAGCATTTGTTGTAGTTGTATTTTATTCTTGTGTACCTCTCAGTGTCTTGGCTTACCTTAGTCATGTTGTGATGACTTCCCATACTTCCTTTCTCCTCAGCAGAATTAGCATGTGTCTACTCTCTGTTAAGTGATTCTTTCTTCTTCCCCTTCCATTCCTGATAACCATCAGAGAATGTTGTGCTTTTTGTAAATAATGCTGCTTTAAAATTGGGTATGTATGTCTATTCATGTCACTGCTGATTGATCACTAGGCTGTATATCTAGGGTTAGAATTGTTGAGTAATTAGATATTTTTATGTTTTGAGGAAGCATAGTAGTTAGAGCATTTTACACTGCCACCAGTATTATAAACAAGTATGTCTTGGAAAAAGTGTAGCCAGGGTGCTTCTTAGAGGAAAAGATAAGGAAACTTCATCTCACATACTTTGGACATGTGGTTAGAAGGAGCCAGTCCTTGGAAAATTACATCATACTTGTAAAGGTTGAGGGACAATAAAGGAGGAGAAAACCTTTAATGAGATAGATTGAGTAGTGACTGTAACCGTGGGCTCAAAAGTGTCAGAGATGATGAGGATGGCACAGGATAGGGTATGGTTCAGACCCATTGTTCATTGACCAAATCGTGTCAACTCAACAGGACTCAACATATAAAAGTTGTAATGGAGTGCTGATTATGTAGTCTGAAGGGAGTTGCATTGCTAACCCACTTCTACACATTAAAGAAGTATCTACTTTTTTTTTTTTTTTGGTGATTCAATCCACCAGTGGCTCTGCAGGAGAAAGATGAGTAGTCTCCTTGCATGAGATTTATGGCCTCAGAAACCCAGTAGATGGTCAGCTATTCCCACTCATCAAGAATGAGTGAATGGCTAATAAGGGAACTCTCATGGCTTAGGCCATAGTGAACTGTGCTACTAACCCAAATGGCTGTATGTCTGTAGCCATAATATACCTGAGTGGCTGCTCAGGAAAAAAATGACCAGTCTCCTCTTCTTCACCTCCAGAAACATTCAATAGATGATCACTCTGAGTTGGAGTTGACTAAATGACAGTGTGTTTGAGTTTTTATTATTAATCACTAACAAAGAAGCAGTAGTGATACGTTCTTGTGTACTCTTGAGTTGGAACCAACACATAGCTGACCTCCCAGTGGGTTTTCAGAGGTAGTAAATCACACTGTAGATTTCTAAGTCGGGAGATCAGGAGATGGATTGCACTGGGAAAGTCTGTAGTTCGGGACCTCTAAAAATTATTAAAGAACAGTGATGTCATTTTGAGGACTATGGTGTGCCCAGTTCAGGCCATGGTCTTTTCCATTACTTCCTGTGCATCTGAGAGCTGCACAATGAATAAGGATCACAGAAGAATCGATACCTTTGAGTTATGGTGCTGGAGAGGAGTACTGAATATCCCATGGACTGCCAAAGGAACAAACAGATATATCTTGGGGAAAGTGCAGTCAGATTGCTCTTTGGAGGGAAGTAAGGACAAGTTTTGTGTCTCATACTTGGGACATGTTGCTAGGGGATGCTGTTTCATAGAAAGGGATAACATGGTTAGAAATGGGAGGGCCAGAGAAAGAGAAGACCCCCCAATGAGATGGATTGACACGGTGGCTGCAACAGGGGGCTCAAGTGTATCAAAGATGATAGATGGCAAAAGACAGGATAGGGTGTTAGTTATGGGGTCATTATAGTTTGTACTTAGCTTGCCAGCACTTAACAGCAACAGCAATATGAGTCAAAATCAACCTGAGGGCAGTGGTTTGAATTTAATACCTAATGATCTCAAGAATCTCTTCATGTGTTTGTTAGGTACTTAAATGTCGTCTTTGATGAAGTATCTGTTCATGTCATTTGCCCGGTTTTTTAATTGGATTGTTTTTGAAATGTTGATGTTTTCTTTAGATTTTAGAAATTACATGCTTGTTAGATAGGTCATTGTGACCATTTTTTTCCAGTCTGTTAATCCTCATTTTACTCTTGGAGTATTTTGCTGTATATATGTGTTTAATTTTCAGGTGGTCAGAATTTTCTAGTTCATCTTCTATTTGTGTATATATGCTATAAATTAAGACACCTTTAACTTTGTTCTATGTTATCCTCTTGGAATTTTATAATTTGAGGGTTAACATTTAAGTCCATTTTGAGTTAATTTTTCTATTTTATTTTTCATGAAATGAGTATCCTGTTTTGGCAGCACCATTTTGTAAAGAGACTTTCATTTCCCTATTGAATGAATTTTCAGGCAAAAGACTTAATTAGAAATCTTGTGCTTTCTGCCATTGAGTTTACAGATTTTAAGAATTTCCACCCTCCAATATGGTTAATTTCTTATTTTTAATATCATGTGTCTGGATTCATAGACTGTGTTTTCAAATTATTCCTCTTTTATTTTTTTTTTAAATACTAGAAACTAATGCTTTCAGAACTTTTTTTTTTTAATCACAAAACAGTTTTGTCAAAATCTCTTAAGTTCTCATTGTTAAAAGATTTTGTTTTCTTGGAAATTCTCTATACCCCTGGATTCTAGTAATCTAAAAAGCAGAAGAAGCAAAAGAATAGTATTAATATACTAATCTTTTCTTAAAACTTAGCATTAATTTGCTTGAAAGGTAATTGCGTATTTCACTTTAGGTTACTGAATTCAGATTCCATTTTAGAATGTGTGTAAATATGCAGCAGGTATGTTGGAAACTTAATAGATAATTTTGAGATTCTGATTAAACAGTATACATACTTGAAATTTCTCTTAAAAATCATTTGAAAGAAATTGTAACACTAAGTTATTCATCATATCTTTTTAAGTAATTGAATTACAGTTTTAACCTCAACTTGAATATAAGCTTGATATAATGCATGCGCATGCTGTGTAGTTTTGAATAATAAGCAAATTTATATTACAGCACAAATATTTATATTTCTTGATAAGGTAAGTAGAGCCTCACTGCAACTATTTGTGGAGCGTATTGGTCTGCTTAAATTAGATCTGTTTGCCTGTTAAGCCATGACTGTATTTGGGAGATACTGATTCCCTGTTGGTGATTGGCATAGTGTGACATAATGTATAGCTTGTATAAGATTTGTATAACTGTTTTCTAAGAGAATACTGAAAATCTAACTGCTATCATACATCCTCCCTCGTCATAAGTATACTTACTAGAAAATTCCATCTCCTTGTCATTTATAAAAGTTTTAATTCATTTAAGTTGCTATAGTGCATGATTTTTTTTTAAAAATCTACCATGAAAATATAGTTTAACATGTTGCCGCACTCGTTTTAAATTCACGACCGTGCTTACAAACACATTTGCCATAATTTGCGGCAACGTGTTAATATGCAGATGTACGATCAGGATATCTCTGAAGAATTTCACAAATGAGTTGGGTTTTGTTTTTTTTTTCTTTTCATTAACATTAACGTCATATGCATGATATTTTTAAAACACAAAATAGATCTATGTAGAACTATTATTATCATCTTCCTAGGTAACTTATGAACTAATTTACAGGGAGATACTGCATTCTGTTAAAGATAAAAGAGATAAGTCATCATCTAGAGCATGAAGTCAAATTATTCTGTAAGAGATTTTTGCCTCATTTCCCTTATTTGCATAGCAGCTCTATGTGTTTATAAGAATAGTCCTTTTTTAATGCTTAATAGCTAACTTAATATTAACTATTAACTAATTTAACTTAAAGTTAACTTTTTATCTTATATACAAGCAGGTGAAATAAATACCACAAAATCAGTATCTATTTTCTTAATACTTTATTTTGTTGTTGTTAGTCTCTTCATTAGTGGAAGAAGGAGAAAAACAGAACAAACCTTTTAGGCCATCAAAAATGTCTTGCAGAGAAACTGCCCCATTGACATCCTCAGCACCAGAAAGCCAGGGGTCACTGACAGTCAAAGAGAAGTTCATCCCACCTGAGCTCAGCATCTGGGACTATTTCATTGCTAAGGTAATACACTTGTTATTCAAAGTATTATTTGTGTAGTCAAATGAAAATGTGCATGTTTGAAATAGAAATGTGACTATTGGAAATTCCAAATGCGTCTGCACTCTGCTTTAGAATATTTCATTGTTATCAAGATGCTTTAAAAATGTTGAAGCAATGAAAACTTCTGTTTCCAACCAATCTATAAGGCAGATCTTTGATAAATTGAGTTATGCATTTTAAATAAAACAGAAAAACTTAAAAAGAGAAGTTGGTTAGCATTTCAATGTTAATGTTGTCAATGTTAGTGAACTTGATACTATTTAAAGAATCAAGAATTCCAGAAGTTTATCTATATTCTTTCATTCCTTTTTCTTCCTTTGAGTACTTCTAATGCACACAAATTTCAATTACTGCTGTTTAGTTAAATAACACAAGTTTCCCAACGGTAAAACTTATATTTTAGTTATTAGCATATTAAATCATGGAAAGGGTTTCCATGGTGGTGCAAACAGCTAAGCAATGAGCTGAAAGCTGAAAACTTGGCAGTTCTTGCCTTGAGAGGACATCTTTGAAGACTGACGGCCTAATCCTCTTACAAAACGTTGAAAGCTCAGAAGCTCTGGTGGCCTAGTGGCAAGAAGCTGCACTGTAATCCCAGAAGCGTGTAGTTCAAATCCACCAGATGCGGCGAGCTCTGGTGCGTAGTTCAAATCCACCAGATGCTCTGCTGTACCAGTCACATCTGATTTGACGGTATACACACACACACACACACACATAATAAAATTTAAAAAAAAAAACCAAAAAAAAAAAAAAACCTCCCAAATCCACCAGATGCTCTACTGAAGAAGGAGGGATAAAAAAAAAAAAAAGGTTGAAAGCTCTTTGGAACAACTTGACTCTGTACATAAAGATTCGCCATGAGTCAGAATCAGTTTGACAACAACAACACAATCACATTAAGTAAAAATGTTTCCTGCTAGCTTTCTTTGGGGTGCTCTGGTGGGAGCTCCTTTCAGGGAGTGTCTTGCTAACTAACCCAAAGGCCATGCCTCTGGAGAAGTTCAAATCCACCAGCAGTCAGGGAAGAGAAGGGTAGTTTCCTCCAGGGTGAATTACTCACTTAGTGGCAGTGGGTGACTAAGTGCTAGTCACTGTGTAAATAACAGATGCACATTATCATAACCCATAATCAAACACTTTTTCAAAGTAGGTTGGTGACTTGTCATTGTGCATCTATTATATAGTTCTTACATAGACTGTAAAGAGTGTGGTTTTCCTTCCTCTCTGTCTCCCAGTGAAAACCCATGTGACATTTACTAGATTAGAGAATTCCAAAAAGAAAAAGGAATTAGCCAGCGAAGAAATGAAAAGTCCTAACATTGGAAGTGAAATTCAGATTATACTTAAATGGAGTTAAAGAAGTTGACCACATAATGGTGACATGCTATCATTTATCACATTCTGGAAATAGCGTTCATTCAATCACTCATTGCCATCTGAACCAACTTGTAACAAAGCTTCCATTGGATTTCTGAGACTGTAAACTGCTATGGAGGAGATTCCCCATCCTTCTCCTACAGAGTCACTGGTCAATTTGAACTTCCGCAAAGACAAGGCCTTTGAGTTAGAGCAGTACAATTCCCTGGGGAATTAGCCATCAAAGTTGCCAAAAAATACTAAATGTACTATGCGCTGCCAGAGGAATGAACAAATCTCCCCTTGAAGAAGTAAAACCAGAATGCACCTTTAAAGTGCTGTTGAGTAGGAATGTCAGCTCCAAGCTAAAGTGCACCTGGCCCAAAAATAGTTTTTTCAATTGCTTTTTATGTGTGTGAAAGTTGGACAATGAATGAAAAAGACCAAAGAATTGATGCCTTTGAATTGTGGTGTTGGCAATGATGATTGAATATATCAGAAACTATGAAAAGAATGAGTAAATCCCTATTGGAAGAAGTTCAGGCAGGGTGCTTCTTAGAAGCAAAAATTGTGAAACTTCCTCTCCCATATTTTGGGCATGTTGTCAGGCTCTCTTAACATCTGTCCTATAAAGGTGATGTCATACTTGGAAGGTGGAGAGGAAGACCCTGAATAAGTAGGATTGACACAGTGACTGCACCAGTGGGCATTAGAAAAATGGAAGTTGTGAGGATTGTGCAGGGCTTCAATCTATCATATATAGGGTAGCTGTGAATTAGATTAAACTCGAAGGCCCCAACAACAGCCAAATCATCTATTCTGTCATCTACCGTTCTCTGCAACCTTTCTTCTCTACCTTAGTAGACTTCAAATTGTTCTTTTTTCACATTAACTTGTTTTCTGCATTCAAGTCTTTCAAATGCTTTTTTCTACTATATATATTGCTTTTCTTCACTCTTGGTATATAACTTATTTTTGTCCTGTAGGATTCCAATAAATTTTATTTTTCAAAGAAATGTTTGATGACCAGGTTATCTCCAGTCTCTCCTTTTATTCTCTGACTCAACTTTCCCTCTCTCTTTTTTTTTAACATAACAGTGCAATTTATATTTCAGTCATTTGCCCTGTTTTTTCCACTGAAATTTAAGTATTCTTATTCATCTTCAAAATTCTTATGCCCACATAACACTCTTTGGCTTATTGTAAATACTTAATGTATTTTTGTTGAGTAAATGAATAAGTAGAGCTTTATGTAATATGAAATCAAAGGAATTGGTGCCCAAAAACCCTGCCAATAACTAATTGAATTTCTTAAGGTCCATGAAAATAGATTGAATTGCTGCTATTAATTATATACTTGAATATATTAAATCAGATCTTTGGATGATAAATTCTGTACCTTTTTTTTTTTAAATTTTAGCCTTTTCTACCTTCATCGCAAAGTAGACCAGAATATGATTCAGAGGAGAGTTTGGAAAGTGATGATGATGATGGTGATGATAATGATGATATTTTAACTTCTGATTTCCATCTCCAAGAGCATTCCAATGCAAATTCATATAGGTATGGAATATCTACTTTAAAGCTTTTTTGAAAGATGCTTTAGCATGACATATATAAATAATATTTTAAAATATAATACATGTGAAACTAATAACTTTATGAATTATAATACATTATAACTTAAGTTTTGATAGTCTGAGTGGATGATACATGATTTGTATAATTTATTTTTTATTTTATACTAGTTTATTTATAAAATTCTTTAAATACATGGTTTGGAATGTAGCAGGTATACAACCTCATGGGGACAGATGGCCACCCCTTTGGTAGGCTTTCTAATGGTTTTCCTGGACCCCAAGGTCCCTATTACTGTGGTGTGGAGCAGATAAAGCTTATGACAGGAATATTGTGGAGGCTCACTACCCGTCCTGCTTGTATGCTGGCCTCAAGATTGGGAGGACAAATGTGGAAGTAATACCTGTCCAGTGGGAGTTCCAGATAGGCCCCTGTGAAGGAATTGCCATGGGAGATCATCTCTAGGTGACCAATTTCATCCTGCACTGTGGATGTGAAGACATTGGCGTTATAGGAACTTTGACCCCAAACCCATCCCTGGGAACTAGAATGCTGCTGGATGTCACAACCAACTTTAACACCAAGGCCATGCGAAAAGAGAATGGTGTGAAGCACCGTGAGGAGTCCATGGAGAGACTAAGCAAGCAGCAACAGTACCACATTCGTGCCTACAATCCCAAAGGAGGCCTGGATATCGCCCAGCTCCTGACTGGATTCCACAAAACCTCCAACATCAGAGACTTTTCTGCCAGTGTGGCCAACCATTGTGACTGTTGGCCAGGAGAAGAAGGGTTATTTCGAAGACCACCGCTCTTCTACCAACTGTGATCCCTACTCGGTGACAGAAACCCACATCTGCACATGTCTTCTCCATGAGACTGGCGACAAGCCCTTCCAGTATAAAAACGAAGTGGCCTAGACCCCCAGTCATCAAAAGCCCCTTCTGCATCCCAAGCCCTCTTCTCCTCGTACTTGCTCCTACTAGCTGTAATACAAAGGGCAAAATATCGAGGTCTTTTTTATTCCTCAGGCCCAGTTAATTACTCTTGCTTTTTTGGGGCTAGGGTAGAGGGGTCAAATTCTTATCCTCACAGCCATCCCGCCCCTTTTCTCTGTCACTGAAGCTTTCTTGAAGACTGAGGAATAGTGCCTTAGTTGGGAGGGGCTGGGGAAACATAACCACAGCTCCCATTTAATCAGATGTGTTTGTCCAGTAGACATAGCTATTCAGACAGAGCATATATTTGTGAAGGGAGGAAAAGAATAAATTTTGGAGGTAGGTGAAGTGAGAGAGCCTGACTTAATTCTGTGGTAAAGTTAGGATTTCCTTGTTTGGATAGGAGACTCCATGGAAATTAAGAGAGAAGGAGGATAGGGATATGACGGGACATATCTCTGCCTTAAGAAAAAAAATTCTTACTATTTGGCCCTCAATATTATAACACATAGCAGAGGAGTATTTTTATATTTAAATGTAAAAACACAAAAATTACATATATGAGTGTGTGAGTATGTGTGTTTTCCTAAAAAGAAGTGGAGTCACCAGGAGAGAATTGATTAGTCTGGTTAGAAGTCAGCCTCTCCTTTTGAGAAGGGTGAAGCACTGCTTGAAAACAGGGCTGTTATGTTCTACTACCACATGTAGGTTTCTCTGCCCACCCTTCTGAAGGGAGTGGACATTGGTCAGTCAGTGTGTGGAAGCAGGTTTTGAGCAGTCACTTGAGCCCTGAGGCTTTTGTTTATTAATTTGATAAGATACATATACTTTTACACACACATACACAGAAGTTTAGAAATAGGAGCTGGCTGGTCAACTTAAGCATATTACCAACAAGGCAGTATTGGGTTATTTTCTGGTGGGAGTAGCATGTCATTAAAGCAGGCCTTTTGATATATTTAAATTTTTTTTTTAAAAAAAGCAAAACAAATTTAGATGTTAATCATTTGTAGGTTCTTTTCTACAGATTTGCTTGCTTGCTTCAGCTGTCTTCCTCCATCATCTCTGATGTTTTTGGAGATGTGGTCAGAACAGATGTCAAATAGTTGTCATTTGTGTTCTAGTGTCTTCTCAGCATAAAATACTCCATTCTTTTGTCAAGATTTCCAAAGTTCTTCCCACACCCTAACTTTGTCCTTGTGTTTTCCTCCTGTTCCCTGGTTATTTTGTGTTGGCTGAAGCCAGCAAGCTGTGGTTTCCCCTTGCCATGACAGCTGCTAATTGCCATATGAAGTATGTTCAGATAGATGACGTCTCATTGTAAACAAGTTGCACAGCTTCCCAGAGCAGCTCTTATAAATCAATATAACATTTTAAAAAAGATGATGATGATGGAAGGAGTAAACAAAGTCGCTGAACCAAAAATAACTGGCTGACACAGAAGAATTTTATGAAGCATCATCTGATCAAGAGGAAATGATGATGAAGTAGGAAGTTCAAGTTTCTCTGAAGGAACTGAAAATAAGGCTCTAGGAGTTGACGACATACCAATTGACATATTTCCAAAAACATACACTGCCCTGAATGTGCTCAATAGGTTGTGCCATGAAACCTGGAGGGCAGCTACCTGGCCAACTGACTGGACAGGTTCTATACTCATTCCCATTCCAACAAAAAGGTGGCGTGACACAGTGTGAAAATTATCCATTAATATCACATGCAAGCAAAATTCATTTGAAGATTATCCAGAAACTACTGGAACAGTACATTGACATTGAACTATCAGAAATACAAGCCTGATTTAGAAGAGGCTGTGGCACTAGAGACATTACTGCCAGTTAGGTAGATCTTGGCTGAAAGCAAAGAGTACCAGAGATTATACAGAGGCATTTGACTGTGTGGATCACAACAAATTGTGGCTAACCTTGAGAAGAATGGGAATCCCAGAACACTTGATTGTGCTCATGTGAAACACTTACTTGGACCAGGAACAGAACAGACCAAGGAATCACTGTATGGTTCAAAATCAGGAAGGAGTGTGTCAGGGACATGTCCTGTCTCCATACTTTTTCAATCTATATGTGGAACATCATTTGGAGCATCATGATAAATGGAGAAGAGATTGAGGTTGTTAAAATTTCAGCTTGTTTGGTTCCACAATCAACAATCTCGGCACCAGCTATCAGGCAATCAAAAGATTAATATCACTGGGGAAGTCTGCTGTCAGAGACCTCTCCGAAGTGCTAAAAAAGTGTGATGTAAGTCTGGAGACTAAGCTGTGCCTTATCTAGTCCATGATCTTGACAGTCACTTGCTATGCATCAGAGAGCTGGACAATGACTAAGGATGACAGAAGAAGAATTGATGCCATTGAGTTGTGGTGCTGAAGAAGAGTATTGTACATACCTTTGATTGCCAAGAGAACAAGCAGGTCTGCCTTGGAGAGAGTGAGACCAAGTTTCTCCTTGGAGGCAAGGATTTTGAAGCTCCATCTTACATACTTTGGGGACATGGCCAGGAATAACCAGTCCCTAGAGAAAGATAAAGGGACAGCGCAGGAGAGGAAGACCCCAGATGAGAAGAATTGACAGTAACTGCAGTAATGTGGCTAGGTGTGTCAGCGTCCTTGAGACTGACTAAGGATAGGGCAGGGTTCAGAACTCTAGTACATAGGTCACCGTGTGTCACAGATAACTTGATGGCACGTAAAAAAACACCAATAATATTGAGACTAAGAAAATGGGTTTAAAACATCTCAAGACTTCATCTCATTAGAGTGATTCATTAATTTTAGAACTAATTCATTTTTATTGTTAAAATAAGCATCTCTCTTCTGTAAAATTTATAAAGTTCCTGTCCTTCAAACTTGCTTAATTTTATTGCTAACACTAATTTTCCCACTAACACAGACTTGAAACTTTGGTGGAGAGTAGAACAGGCAAAGAGTGGGTCGACAATGAACACTGCCTTTGTACAAATGAAGGAAAGGGTTATCTGAAAAGAATATATGATTAGGCATTATATATATTACAACAATCTGGAACAAGACACACGTTAAAAAGTGAACTGGGGAGGGGGGCGTAGGAAAATGTGCCTCAGTGAATGAATAAAAACCCAAACTTTTGTGTAAGCTTTCATTAAAATAATAATTTTAAAAAACCAAACCAGTTATACAGTTGTTGTTGTTGTTGTTGTTGTTGTTATGTGCCATCAAATCACTTGCAACTCATGATGATCCTGTGTACAACAGCCCTGAAGCCTGTTCTGGCTCGTGCCAACTTTATTGTCTCCGACACCCCTTCCCTCATTAATCCACTCACTGTGTCGATCCATCTCATTTATGGTCTCTCTCTCCTTCTCTGTCCCTCTGCCCTTCCGAGCATGATGTCTCGCTCCAAGGACCAGTCTCTCCTTGTAACATGCCCAAAGTATGTCAGACGACGCTTCAGAATCCTTGCATCCAAATAGCAGGCTGGTTTCACCCTCTTTAGGATGAACCTTGTTTGTTCTCCCGGCAGTCCATGGTATATTCGAAACTCTTCTCCAAAGAGAAAATTTAGAAAATCAAAGATGATTTAAATTATGTAAATATTATATGGAAAACAAAGATAGACTTAATGCTGGAAAGTATTTACAAAATATTAATTAGAAAATAATAGTTTTAAAGATGTGTCTTTTGTAGGAATCTTTTTGTAATGGTAGCTAGATGATTGATTGATAGATGATAGATAGATAGATAGATAGATAGATAGATAGATAGATAGATAGATAGATAGATAATCTGTATACCCAAACGTATGTAGACACAAAATTAATTGTGGTTATCTTTAGGTGTTGCAGTCAGAGGTATATCTATATTTTTTTTGTTTACCTTTAATTTTCAAGTTGTTGTTGTTACGTCACCTGCAACTCACAGCAATTCTATGTACAACAGCACTGAACCTTACACTATCCTGAGCCAGTGTCATGGACTCTGACACACCTAATCCCATTGCCCCAGTTATTGTGTCAGTCCATCTCATCCGGGATCTCTCTTTCCTATGCTGTTCCTCCATCCTTCCAAGCATGATGTCCTTCTCCAAGGACTGGTCCCTCCTGGCTACTTGCCTAAAGTATATGAGGTGGAGCTTTAAAATCCTTGCCTCTAAGGAGATACTTGGTTTCTTCCTCTGCAAGACTAACCTATTTGTTCTTTTGGACTGTGATATGTTCATTGCTTTTCTTTAGCACCACAACTCAAAGGCAAACTTAACTACTACTACATCTTAAATTTCTAAATTTAAAGATGATTTTTACCTCATTTATCTCTAGAAATAGAATAATTAATATTACTGTTTTGTACATTATTAACATTGTAAACTCTCAGAATGTCCACTACCTTCTGAGTACTACATTTTCTTTACATGCATGTTACTGTATTTCCCTCAATGTGTTTACAAATGAAAACTATATATATTTTATTAATCTAGAGTATGTTAATGGTTTGATTAAAAAATGGACATTTTCCAAAAGGAACAACTATATCAGAGAAAATGAAGATCTTTTTTTACTGAAAGAAATAAATATTATGACTATTTTTAATTTATCAGTGTAATTATTTCTTTTGAGTTAGTTTTTTTCATATATGAAACATTTACATAGTTCAAAAGGCAAACTCTAAGAAATGAAATTCTGCTTTTTTTGCATTTGCACATAATGCTGGCATGAGTAACTCCATGCATCTATTGTTTCAGTTTCCTTTACTTTTATCTTCAGTGTTACTTCCTAGTAGTGGAACTGTTAGGCCAAAGGATGATGTATTTTTTTTAATATCTCAGTGTTTAACAGAGCCTCTGTTGCTTTCATTTTAGTTGGTCATTGATGAGATTGGCAATGGTGCAGCTGGTGCTCAACAATTTGAAAACTTTCTATCCCTTTGCAGGACATGATCTTGCAGGTAATGAATATTATAACATGAACTACTGTTGACATGCTATGAATTTACTTCTCTGTCAGTTTGTTGGATTTTTTTAAGTGTTGTTGTTGCAGAAACATTGGAGAGGAAAATACATAAAGCTTCAAATCCAAGAGAAAGTCATCTGTGACTCTGTAGCAATGAGTGAGTGAGAAATAGGTTAGCCAGTGTAAGACTTAATGATGATTAATGCTGTTTGTTGTTGTTGTTATGTGCCATCGAGTCGCTTGCGACTCATAGCGACCCTATGTATGACAGCCCTAAACTCTGCTCTGTCCTGTGCCAGTCGCTTTGTCTCTGACACTCCCATCCCGATTATCCCAGTCACTGAATCAGTCCACCTCATAGAGGGCCTTCCCCTCCTGTGCTGTGCCTCCACCCTCCCAAGCATGATGTCCCTCTCCAAGGACTGGTCTCTCCTCACAACATGTCCAAAGTATGTTAGACAGAGCCTCAGAATCCTTGCCTCCAAGGAGCCACCCGGTTTAACCCTTTCCAGGACAAATCTGTTTGTTTTCCTAGCAGTCCATGGTATTCTCAGTACTCTTCTCCAGCACCACAGCTCAATGGCATCAATTCTCCTTCTATCCTCCTTTGTCATTGTCCAACTCTCGGATGCATAACAAGTGATTGCGAAGACCATGGCCTGTATCAGACGCACCTTAGTCTCCAGAGAGACACCATTGCTCTTCAGTACTTTGGAGAGGTCCCTAACAGCAGACTTTCCCATGGCAATGCACCTTTTAATTTCCTGGCTGCTGATGCCAAGACCGTTGACTGTGGAGCCAAGCAGACTAAAGCTGTGTACAATCTCAATCTCTTCACCATCCATCCTGATGCTGCCAATTGGTCCAGTGGTGAGAATCTTTGTCTTCTTGACATTGAGCCTCAGTCCATATTGTAGGCTGCAGTCCTTGACCCTCTGCAGCAGGTGCTTCAGGTCCTCTTCAGTTTCAGCAAGCAGGGTTGTGTCATCTGCATAACTCAGATTGTTGATAAATCGTCCACCAATCTTGACCCCACATTTCTCCTCATAGAGCCCAGGCTCCCGGATAATCTGTTCTGCATATAGGTTGAAAAGGTATGGAGATAGGAGATAGGATGCATCCCTGGCGTACGCCCTTCCCAATTTTGAACCATGCGGTGTTCCCTTGCTCTGTTCTGACGACTGCCTCCTGGTCCAAGTATAGTTTTCGCATTAGAATGATCAAGTGTTCTGGGATTCCCATTCTTCTCAGAGTCAGCCATAGTTTGTTATGATCTACACAGTCAAATGTCTTTACATAGTCAGTGAAACACAGATAGACATTCCTCTGGTATTCCCTGCTTTCAGCCAAGATCCATCTAACATCATCTGCAATATCCCTAGTACCACGACCCCTTCTAAACCCAGCCTGGACTTCTGGTAGTTCTCTGTTGATGTGCTGTTCCAGTCATTTTTGGATAATCTTCAGTAAAATCTTGCTTGCATGTGAAATCAGTGAGATTGTTCTGTAGTCTCCACATTCTGTTGGGTCACCTTTCTTTGGGATGGGAACAAGTATCGATCTCTTCCACTCAGTTGGCCAAGTGGTCGTTCTCCAGATTTCTTGGTACAACTTGGTGAGCATGTCCAGGGCAGCATCTGTTAGCTGAAATATGTCAATTGGTATACCATCTATTCCTGGAGCCTTATTTTTTCCATTTCCTTCAAAGCAGCCTGAACTTCTTCTTTCATCACCATAGGCTCTTGCTTATATGTTGTTTCATGAAATTCTTCTGTGTCTTCAAATTCCTTTCAATACAGTGACTCAGTATATTCTTTCCATCTTCTTTTAATACTTCCTGGATCATTTTACATTCTGCTGAAAGCATCCTTGATTATAGCAACTCGAGGTTTGAATTTGTTTTTCAGTTCCTTGAGTTTAAGATATGCTGAGCGAGTTCAGCCCTTTTGATTTTCTGACTCCAACTCCTTGCACATTTCATTGTAATATTTTGCTTTGTCATCCCGTGCTGCCTTTTGAAATCTTCTATTCTTTAGTATCTTGATTAATGCTAATGGGTTGAAAATTATACAGAAAAGAAAGAAGCATGATTATTTTACAAGTGGTTCCACTGTGAACTTTCTTTTACATAAATGTATGTCAAATACATGCTAAAATGTCTGGTTAGCCAGAAACTTTGTTATGCCTATATTGGAATGGTGACACAAAGAGAGGCTAATCTCCAGATTCCTTAGAGTAAATCAGTTGAACTTTTCTTTAAGTTGAAAGATCAAAACCTCACAGAATAAGCATGTTTATGTGGAAGTAAATAGCAGGAATAGGTAAGAATTGAAAGTAGGTTCAGGGAGCTCTGGTGGCCTAGTGGTAAGGAGCTGTACTGACAACCCAAAGGCACATGGTTCACATCTACCAACTGCTCCACAGCAGAAAGATGAACAGTCTCCTCTGTATGATTTATTGCCTCTGAAGACCAGCTAGACGGACAATTCTGAGTTGACACTACAGGAAAACAATAAAATTAGGTTCAGGAGTTGGGAATGTAGAAGAATAAGACTTTGAAATGCTATGTTTTATAGTATTATTTAACTTTAAAAAGATTTTTTTTTAATTTTTCTTTATTTTCCAGACAAGTGTTAAGTATGTATTTCATACAAAAATTGGGCTGTTAAGACAATTTTCCTCTTCATTTTTATAATCTTCAGGTACATCTTTCATGTGAAATTACAGTTAAAAGCTGTAATTGATATAATTTAAATCATAAATTGCAAATACTATTTCAAATTTTAGTTTTAGGCCTTTGAAGTAATTTCTACTTAGATTGCAGTGTTTTTCTTATCCTAGGCTAGTTGTTTGTATTTAAATGCCTTACATGCTTATGACATTGTTTTATAAGTGTGAATTTTCATCCCTTCTCATATCTCTTCTGTATGTGTTGTGTCAGTATCTTTTCTCCGTGATTCTTAAATATAGCATTATGTTGCAGAAGATAAAAGATGTGCCATTTTTCCTCCATAGCTTTTTAGAGTTAAAAACAGTTTGGGGTTTTTTTTTGCCAAAAAAAGGGTTTCTTCTAAAAATATTTACTTTTCTTTTAGAGCTACCAGTTAGTTCACCACTTTGTCATGCAGTTTTAAAAACCCTCCAATGTTGGGAGCAAGTTCTTCTCCGACGACTTGAAATCCATGCTGGGCCACCTCAAAACTATATAGCAGTTCATACTTCTGAAGAGAGTTTATCATCAGGCCCTGCGATTCTTCGCCATAAAGCTTTGTTGGAACCTACAAACACTCCTTTCAAGTAAGTTTTCCTTTAGGTATTCTTTTTGTATTACTAAGTCTGAAAGTTGTCAAGTGTTATGTAGAGAAGAAACATTTAAGGTCATTGTTTAGTTTGGGAATAATTGTTGTTGTTGATTGCCATCAAGTCAAACATGACTCATAGCGACTCTGTGAACAAAAGGCCTGAATCCTTTCTATAAGTGTCATCGTTTATCAAAGTTCAGAGTTTCCAGAGGTAGTAGTAGTTTATTGATAGTTTCTCCATTGCATTTAGCAAACTCAAGTTTGATTTCTAAGAAATGCACTGCATAGGATCTCCTCTCCGTCACTTATTCTTGTATCTTGCTTAGGTGATGAGCAGGTATCAGCAGAACTTCTAGAATTACATGGGCTAGAAAAGGATGCCTGGCTGTCTACTTCTGTATTTACTTCTGTACTTGTATATACTTCTGTAAATCAGACACTGTAAACTGTATGGGTCACAAAGATCCATTTTGCAACTAATCATAAAAATGGTAAATAACTGGGCAATATTTCTTTTCATTGTGTATGGATTGTGATTAGATGACAACTAACATGTTTGATTTGCTGCTCTGGGCTTATTTCTCTGTTTTGGGGTTGAATGTTATAGCTCAGAAGTCAACACATCTTTTCTGCAAAAGTCCAATAGTAAGTACTTTAGGCTTTGCAGTCCTTACTGTCTTGTCACAGCTACTCAACTCAACCATTGTAGTATGAAAGCAACTATACAACTACAGATGAAAACTTCATTTTGAAAAATAGAAGGGCTATTGAGTTTGGCCTGTGAACTTTTATAGGCATCTTCTTTTCACAATTGCTGTTCAAAATACCTATGCAATAAACTCTTTCAGTGCCCCTGAAGAGATAAAGAGTTAAGACCAAAGGTAAATCAGTGCAGTACTTGCTTCATCAAGAAAGAAAAAAAAAATCATAAATGTAAACAGCATTTTGGGTGGCTTAGTGACATAGTTGAATTTTACCTATGCATAAACTCTTTACTTAGAGCTGAGCAGAGTTTGTGAACTGGTACATTTCCAAAGACCACATGATTAGTAGCTTTTTTCCTACACCCTCTAGGAAACATACTTATTTTGATACATCTAATGTACCTAGATCAGGGGTCAACACATTGGTCTTGAAAGCCAAACTCAGCCCATCCAATCTTTGTAAGTAAAAGTTTTTTCTTACCAGCTAGACTCAGTCACGTGGATATTACTTATTAGTGCTTTCCCACTATGATGGCAGAGTTGAAGTTGTGACAGAGATCAGATATCCACAAAGCCTAAACTATTTATTATCTAGGCCTTAAGAAATAGTATGCTAAATAAACTAGTTGTTGTTGTTGATTGCCTTCGAGTCAAGCACAACTCATAGTGACCATATGAACAAAAGGCCTGAAGCCTTTCTATAACTATAGACATTTATCAAAGTTAGTAGAGCTTCCAGAGACATGTTGTTTAGTATAAACTAGTATAATAATAATTAAAAAAAGAAATAGTATGCTGTCTATGTGATATGATTCCAGTTAACAGATACTAAGCATTCATATGTTGTTGTGCTGTCAAGTTGACTACAACTCAGCAACCTTACAAAGAACAGATTTGAACTTTGCCATGTTCTGCACCAGGCTCATGATATCTGACTTGCTTGAGCCAATTAGAGATGATCTTCTCTTTGTCTGACCCTATACCTTTCCCAGCAGGATATTCTTTCCTAAAGCCTGGCCCCTCCTGTCAAAATAGGGTCTGAGACAAAGTTTCACCATCCTTGCCTCTAAGGAACATCCTGGTTGCACTTTCTCCAAGACAGACTTGTTTGTTCTTTTAGCATTTTAGAATATTTAGTATTCTTCATATAGTACTGAGAAAATGCAATTATGTTAATCAGAAACTTTCGAAGCATATAATTGCATTTATTCTCTCTGTATAGATCTAAACATCATTTGGCCCTTTCTGTGAAGAGGCTTTGGCAGTACTTGGTAAAGCAAGAAGAAATTCAAGACACCTTTATCAGAAATATATTCACAAAGAAAAGATGTCTGAATGAGGTCTGTAGTGTTAAAACCTGTCTACTATTTCATAATTGCAGTCTCTTACACTTGCGTATCTATGAATAATGAGTTACATTTTATGTTTTTTTAAGGAACTAATTTTTATAGTACAATATATGTCCTGCTGTTAATACTTTGAGGAAAAAAGAGACACAACATTATCTTGAAAGTAACTAATTGCTGTGTTTAAGAATAATTTTTCAAAACTAAAGTGCTGTATGCTGAGTGAGACAATTATTGTAAAAAAGAGAAGGATAACTAGTAAAATGTATATGGATATCCAGAGAGGGAAGTGGAAGGGGAAGAGGAGCTGAGAGTAAGGAAGTGAGGATTTCACAGGATTGCAGAATTCAGTGGGTGAAGGGAGGGGATGAAGGAAATAAGGAAAGATCTAGTAGAGGTCTGAAAAGATAGGATAGTAGTGGGTTTAGTTCTTTGTTGTTTTTATTATGTGCCATTGAGTCACTTGCCACTCATAGCAACCCTATGTACAAGAGCTCTAAATGCCGTTCTGTCCTGGGGTATAGATTAATGTTGATTAATTTTATAAGACACAATATGGATGAGAATGATCGTTAAGAAACAAGGTGAATGAGGGGGGAAAAAAACAAAAGTGTAATGCTTGAGTTATGACATTGTACATCTTGTTTTCTGTGTTATATCACCAGTTTAAGAGATAAGATTGGACTTTTCCTGCGATTTTTGTGCAATAATTGAAAATATATTACAAGTTTAATTGACACCAAATTGTATACTGAACGCCTTTGATATATGTACATTTTATTTTTTAATTGATTATACTAAATTAATGAAATTTTGCAAACTTTGATTAATTTATTATTACCTTATAACTTGTCATTTATGTCTTAATATTGCAGCATTATGATTATTTTTCTTTATTTAGCTCAGTTCTACTAAAAAAAAAAGAACCAGTTTGATGATGAGGGGAAGCTGCCCCTGAATGAAAATTAGCATATCATTTCCTTCACTGAGAAAGTTTTGTTATTAAAAAGGAAAAAAAACCCCAGGTAAACTAAACAATGTTCTAGAACAATAGATAATTCCTTATCTCCTCACAGACCAGTAAAAAACTGAGAGTAGTAGCTACCTGTAGACCATATTATAAGTAGCACTGAACCAACTTTTTTTAAAACTTTTTGTCCCAATAAAATAAGAAAGGGAATATATTTTAGTTGAAGTAATAAGAAACTAGAATAGCTTCTCAGTATTTAATCTAGCAAAAAGCCCTGTGACAAGTAAACTTGAAAAAAAGTAAAATTACTTTTTTTTTCCTCAGTTTAAAGGCTCTCAGAAGCAACTATAGACACACCATTATTTAATCTTTGCATGATAATGTGAAAGAGTCAAGTTAGCTAATCCAGGAAACAAAATATAGTCTATTTCTGTTATTTAAATTAGTATGTTCCTTTGAACACAGAGTTGACAAATATAGAACCAGCCTTGTTTGACTGTAACTGGCAGTTTATTACCTGAACAAACAAATATTTGTAAATCTGCCCAGGCACATGGCTGTAATTGTGTACAAAGGCACTGAGGATAGTTTTCATGAATAGATTTTAATGGATTTGTGAACATGGAATCTATAATTAATGACTAATTGTCATTTTCTTGATGACTTAGAAGACTTTTGACTTTACGTACCTTGCTATAACATTGCAATCTGAGCTGAGAAGTGAATATAAATCTTTTAATGTTATGTATGTAGAATCTTTAATGTTTGAATTACCATTAAGTAGTTCAAGAAAATGTTAAATTACTCAAGAAAAGTATGTACACAGCCTGGGAAAAACAATGAATTACTTCACAGTAAGCATGCTAGATAAGAGTGTCAAAGTAATTCTATTAGTATGGTAATGTTTATTGATGAGATAATATTTCTTATTTCACTTTAAGTATATCTTTGCCTAAAATAATTTGGTACGATTATTTGGTCATTTTATAGTGTATAAAAAGCATTGCTGTATTGTTTGCTATAGTAAGCATATTTGCTTGGTTTCTTCTTTGGTTTCTCTGGAACACCTCAAGAATATACATAATTGGTTAATATGACCATAAAATTAAAAACACATTTTATATGTAAATATGGTTGTATGAAGAAAATATTTATATATATATATATATATATATATATATATATATATATATATATATATTATATTTGAGAAATTATACAATTCTGAAAAGAGAACAAAGGGCTAGTGAACCACTAGGCTATATAGTTGATGTTAGGGAAGGAAAATAGCAGAACTAAACCAGAATGCATTAAAGAGAGAGGATCAGTTAATAAAACTATATATTTTTGAGTTCTTATTACTTTATCCCTTCTTTCATAAAAAGTTTCATTATATCTTAAGGTAACATGAAAATTATTTTTATATTATAATTATTTTCTTAAAAGTATGAATATAAATTTTGTCTTGAAAGCTTGTAATTTATCATTAAATTACTTAATTCTCTGAATTTTAGTTACTTTAGTTTGAAAATGGGTAAAATACCTTTAATTTGTAATATTTTGTGAATTGTAAATGTAAGAGTTTTTTAAAATCTGGCATTATTTATAATTATTAGTAAATTGCTGCTAGTATTTTGTTCTGAGTGTTATAATCTTAAAGATAGTGATTTGATAAAAACTGTAAAAGAATTGTGGTTATAAAGCTTAGATTTGATGGCATTAAATAGAATCAGCATTATAGAGTTAGTTTTTTTAAAAAAATTCCTGTTCACTAGATAGTTGACTAACTTATTTTTGGTGTTAAGATTTCTTTTTTTTTTCTTCTTTTTTTTTAAGATTTCTTTTTGTCTTTTGCTTTTATATTATGCTTACATATTTTAATCCAAGTTAATACGAGGTCTGTTGTTTTTTTCCCAGACTAAACAGGAAATAGATACAAGACAGGGCCCATAATTTTAGCCATGGAGCAGTTAAGTAGATGGCTAATTACTGAAATTTTGGCAATTTTAATCCATCCAGCAGCTCTACAAGAAAAAGATTTGACAATATGCTCACATAAATGTTGCTCTTGTATATCCATGTACCATAGAACTGACTCATAGCAGAACCGCCAGCAGGTTCTCAGAGATTGTAAATTGTCAGAAAGATATTACCCATCTTTCTCACATGTAACCTCTGGTCTATTTGAACCTTGTGCCTTTGGGTTGGCAGTGCTACTCCTTACCATTGGTCCAAAACCCTAAGGAACAGTTTCACTCTGTTACATGGAGTTAATGTTGAGTCAAAATCAATTTGAAAGTACCTAATAACAACAAATTTTATCTAGGAGATATTGAAAAAATTGTAAAGACTGTTTTTTTGTTTTTTCCTTTTGATTGAAAATTAAATTTTTACAATTCTTCATATGATCTAAAGTTCTGATATCTTCAGGACTTTTCTTTTTCTGTATATGTGTTTTACTGTATATGCATTTTTAAAGAGGATGTTCACCCTCCTTTTGGAAATCAGTACAGATGACTACAAATGACTCTTTTCCAGCACAAAATTTTTATAGCTTTTATCTTTGCTTCTAATTTCCTTATTTTCTTTAATTTCTCTAGGAGAAATTAAAAGTCTTTAATAAACTCTTCTTTAACAAATGTTGCTAGTATCCCTTTTTAAGATCAATATGTGTTTCTGAGTAATATGTTGATTATTTCTGGTTAAAAGAAGGAAAAAATTAAAAACCTAGAAATCAAATAGTCTAATCAGATTTTTCTGAGGGTTAGTATAACATGGAGACAGGATATAGTCATAATGTATTAAAGATAATACTTAAGAGAGAAGATAAAGTTTATAGTAGTAGTTAATGAATTCTGACAGATGGCATTTTCTCAGCTCACCTTCTAACCATATACCACACACACATCTTTTAAGGTATATGGAGTTTAAAACAGAACTCACTGCAGTGTTACCCAGAAAGTGTGTAAGATACAGTTTTTAAAATTATCCCATATATTTGGCTTTTTACATCTCGTCTTTACTTTTGTCTTGTGATTATTCTTTTTTTGATGAAGTCATTTAGGGACAACAATGAAACCAAAAATTCTATGATGGAGGAGCCAAACATCATTAAGGTACAAAATAACATTCAACTGAAATTAGAAATTGCATTCTGTAAAAAGAAATGAAAGAGTTTGCATTTTAGTTTTGGACTACATTTTTTTCCCCCAATACAATAAAATTATTATTTCAATTATTTTTGTTTTAGTAACTTTAATACTAAAATTGGGTATTTGGTGGTTTGTTGGTTTTTCTTTCAATAAGAGAATGCAATTTTAAAGGGAGTTGAATGGATCCTGTTTTGGCTAAATTCACGTAACATTCTTTATGAATGTAAAATTGCACTAGTAGAAAATACTGTGTTATAATATTATTACATTGCAGCAAATACAACTTTTGAAGTTAAGGTTTTGTCTTATAGTATCAATTCCTTACCATACTGCAAAATCTTAAAATGTTGCATTTGTTTTATTTATTTTATAAGGACAGTGCCTTTGACATTGTATGTACAAGTGTTTAAAGAACTTGAAAGACATACAGTCATGTTGTTAAAGACAAAGTCATGAGAATTTGTAAATATATAAATAAACAATAAAATAATTCTTAGCTTTTTATAACATATCCACATATGATTGACTTTATTAGGTATGATACTTATCACCCGTTTGACATGGATTGTGTCAGAAAATTCTCAGAGTGATTAAAGGAAAAAATATTCCAAATACTTCTTTTTAAAAGGTTACATAGTTTCCACCTCTTTTTTCAAAAAAAAAAGGAATATTTTGTAAAATGAGAAATTTCATATATAATTAAGAAAAAATATGTTTTATTATCAAATTTATATTGTATATGACCCATATGTAACTTTAAAAGTTTCTAATGGCCTTTAGAAGTTTAACAAGGATACCATTTAAATTTTTAATCCATTAACAAACTTGCTTGCCTAAAGAACCATCACATAGTCTCACATACTTGAGACTTA